CAGCTGGCTTTATTTGATGATCCATCTTAACAATTCTCAGTATGTTCTATCCACTTGTGTTGAACTTCTTTGTCTCTCTTCCCCAAACCATACCACCCACATCCTTTAAGACCAAGCACTGGTTATCCTTCAATAACTTCTAAGACTAGCTTACCTTGATCCCAACAACTGAAAGTGCTCACTCCTGCCTAATAATTCTACTGTGTTTCTACATCTCAGGTAAAACTTACCACTCTCAACCTTGGATGTACAACTCCTTCCTGACCATGGCTGAACCAACCTTTCTAGCCTGTTGTGCTCCCCACCCTATGTGAATCTTTCCCAAAAGTACACATTAACCAAAAAAGTCACTCTTCTAAAAATAGCAGGAGGATGCTGTTTCCTTAAGGATACTCATATTGTTGAGTGCCTCTTCCAGAATTCACAAATACTCTGTCCAATGATTTAGATGGATATATCTATGTTACCCCTATGGAGTATGCATTCTTTTTTGTGGAAACAGATCCCATCTGATTCATCTTTAGACCTCATAATACACATAATGGCATCTTTGAATGTGGCTAATTAAATAACTGTTTACTTAATCCAATAAAGAATACACATTTTGTCATTTATTTTTAAACCAGTATGATAAAAGAATGAAAAATACACTGATGTAGATATGTAGAAAAATGTAGATATAAAATTAATGTTGGAAAAAGATTTTACTCTGCTGTTCTCCATCTACTTTCCAAATTCTCTTTTTAAATACACTTGCCAATGTCTCAAATGAATTATCTGATATTACTGCCTCCGAATCATCAGGAACAACTTGTCACCCATGCTACACACTCTACAAACTACAGTTTTTATTGTTACCCATGATCTAACCACCAACCTAAAAACTTTTCTCAATTCCTGTTATTATTTTTAATATCTATGGAATTCAACATTGATGGCCACCCTATTTTCTTTCCATTTTTAATAATGGAACCATGTTTCCTTAGCTCTCTCCTAGTTTTCAGGATCCTCTTCTTCTACTTCCTATAGGTGGGCAATCCCCTAGTCTTTGTCTATTCTTTTATTCATGAGTATTGAATGAATGGGTATTGACTCTCTTCCATAGCAGAGGCAACAAGCCAGTGAACAAACAATCCCACCACATGGTAAAATACAACAGTTACAGTGCCACAATGTGCTCTGGGAGCAGAGCAGATGCCTGGCTACATCCCTTACTGTTCATTCTTCACACCCGTCCATTAGAAATTGCCTCCTCTTTTCATCCTTCAATAACTTCTGTCCTGACCTGTGTGTAACTGTCCAATATTTTCGACTGTTGTGGTATGTCTCCACTTTGATACTCTGTACTCCTTAAAGTCAACAAGAAGAAAGATCACGAAAGAGAGCTCTGTTACTTACAATGAGCCATGAGCTGTTCTATGTGCATCTGTTAGCTGATTAATCTTCATTAAAACCCTGTGAATTAGGTACTAGTATCATTTACACTGTGAAGAAGGGAAAATGAAATGGAAGAGTTTAAATAGTTCAATATTGCATAAATCAGTAAATGGTAAGGTTAAGGATTCAAGGAGTCCAAGTTCCAAAGCCACAGTTCTTAAACATTACTGTGCTGTCCCCAGACTCATCCTGAACCAGCTTTTCAACAGAATTTAGCTCATTAATTAACTTACTTGGTGGCTTTGGAGCCCATAGAAAGACAGATCATCAAAAATTTTAGACACCCAATTTAACAAAGCTGACTATAGTCAGACAATGAGGCAGTGTGGCCTCTCACTAAGAACTTGATTTCAAGAATCAAAATTGCTGGGTTCAAACACAACTTGAGCTACTTAGTATCCACATTGCTAATTCCAGATATGGACAGGAAATATATCCTAGCATTCCTGAAACCAAAGAAGCTGTCCAAAACTTTACTGGCCATGACAGTAGGCAGGAGCCACCTGGAAGGGTTCCAATTCACAAAGCAGTGTGAATGTAGGAATAATAATGAGGACTATAGTCTGAGGCATATTGAGTGTGTGTGTGCATGTGTGTGAATATACATGCACACACATGCCTGTATATTCACATACATAAGAATGAGGTGAATCCATAATGATGCTCTGCAAAGATGACCACAGTGATTCTTAAAAAGTTACTAGGGCATTAATCACCTTTAAAAGTTACTAGGGCCTTAACTTATTACTCTGAAAATTTATTAATAAAGTCAAATACTCAAATATTTTTCTCCTATTTGTTGGTGATAGGGGAAGAAAAATTATAGCTAAGTTGTGAAAAAGAGTAAAAAATTGGAAAACCACATTTTGGCAATCACTAATGAAATAATAGATTTTGAAGATGATCTTTAGGGGATAATACAATAGTAAAAGGCTATAGTAAATGGATTAGGATGATAGTTTCCAAGCCCATTGATCATGACATTAATAATACTGAAACAATTTGATGTTATGTTCCTTTGTTAGAAATACAATATAAATACACAGCACCACCAATGCAGTCCTTCTCCCCAAAAGTTAACCCCAAATATAAATGAGTTCCTATATCTCAACATTAATTTATACAAAATATAAGCAGTAAGGAAAATTGTTTAAAACAAAGTAAGGATACAAGCAGTTAAAATCAAGATATGGGAAATCCCACAGGAAAAAAAGACCCAGTTTATTCAACAAATAAACAGCATGAAAAAATATGAGAGGATATTGTTACAAATTTAAAAGACACCTAAGGTCTCTGTCCACAAAAGGCAGTGCAGGACTTTGAGTTATGATTTAAAAAACGTAACTGTTGAAAAAAAATAGTTGAGACAAGCAAAAAAAAAGTAATTAAGGAATTACTAATTTTGATGCGTGAGACAAAGGTATGTCATTATTTTTTTAAATGTTATATTTTAAAGAAGCAAAAGGAGACATTAACAGATGAAACTGAAAGAAAAACAGTGGGTATATTCCACCTCAAGAAGGTGGGGCAGAGGGGTGAGGCCAGGAGAAGAATGGAGGTGGCTGGGAGCAGGTACAGGGGTCTCTGCTGATGGGCTGTCAAGGTCGAAAGCCTGGGGTGATGCTGTACTGCAAGACATTACCAGAAAATTGGTCAAGGGTACAAGAAATTGATCTGTATTATTTCTTCCAGTTTCTTATGAATCTCAAAATTAATAATTCAATGAAAGAAAATAATCTGGCAGCGCCAAGGATAGCTGAAACAAGAATGGCAGAAAGATGGCTAGGGAAGAACCCATTACGATTTTCTCTTTCTTCATTGGCTTGAAAATTTCCATAACAAAAAGGTGCTTTTAGAGGTGAGAAAAGAATACCATTTCTCTGCAGAGTGGAATCATCATCTGATTTTCCTAACTGTTCTATTTCTAGTTCTTCGAAATCCCATACCACTAAGGCATCCTACACACTCTTGCTAGCTTTTCCTTCTACGAGAATATTTTGACTCTGTCATTCCTTTGCTGATGAAGAAGCCAGTTACTTCAGGATAAAGTCCACATGTCTCCAGATCCCTCTCTGTCAGTCCAGCACAACCTTCTGCTCACTCCACACACCTTCTCCCTCACTGCGCACTTCAGGGCGACTCATTTCATAGTCTCACAAATGCAATGCTGGACAAGGTGCCCTTGTTCTGGTCAGACTCCTACCTGCTTCTCTTTCTCTTCTCCACTGATCTAAGTCCCACCCATCTTTCAAAAAGCAGATTAAAACCCACTTCCTCAGGAAACTCCTCCAACCTTTCCTTAAGGTAACTCTGAGTCTCTTCTGAGCGAGGACTGTATGTTATAGCACAGAGTCTACCAGATCTTCTGACACAACCTACGTTTTGATTTAACAGAATGAATATATAATGTAAAGCCCTGGAGAGATTACTAAATTATAGAAAGAAATAAAAAAGTAAGTAGAAATGTTAAAGAGATTCAAAAGTAAAAATTGGAACTCGGTACATTTGAATTTCAGACAGCAATACACATGTAGAGTTCACTGTGTCACCTTAGGCCACTCATCAAACACATCTTGGCAGTGGATACTAACAAGTAAAATGAAAGATTATACAGAGTTCCCACTTTTTAACAGACAATACTGTACTTGTTTCTGGAAAAAAGGTTCCCAAATGCTCCCATGGATTCTAACTTAGATCATTTATAAACAATACTCATGAATAGAGGCTAAATTTAAAATGAAACACACAAAGCAAAACCATATCCCTCAGCTGCTAGCTCTTAAACACAACTGAGTTGATGAGAATAAATTGCAGGAGAGACCACAGGAACTGGTCTACCATCTTTTAAATGCAGTAAATTCAATGAGACTTCCTAAACACCTATATGCCCTGGGGGAGGTTGATAAGATCTCTCTCCCTGTTGCATGAAAATTTTTCCATCCTGTAAGTTGGAGCTCACTGTCCAGGATGCAGGGTATGAAGGAAGAAACATGTTCAATCGAAGAATATGACCTAGTCAAGAGACCATCACAGTCTCCAAAATAACGAAGCTGAGGCTCGCTAGGACAGGAAGCACACAGAGAAGAATACAGGACAGGATTAGGAACTAAGAGGATAAATTCCACTTTGCCTTAAGAAAGGGCTGTTGCTCTCTGAGCAGGCCTTGTGTATGCAGGAGGGTCACAACTCAGTCTGCCCTCAACTGACTCCCTGGAAATTCCCAGGCTGGAAGAGAAGAGAGTTGTATGAAAACCAGCTCTACCCATCACTGGACCTCCCTGAAACTCAGGACAACTACCACCAAAGAGACTATCCTGAGCAAATGAATGGGGAGGAAGCACCCTTGCTCTAGAACTTTGATTTGATTAGGCTGATTCCATGAGGGAGCCCAGTGCAGTCAAGTGCTGGGCAACGGGATGAATTTAGTAGCTTAAGCACGGGACCTTGGGGATGACTGAGCAGAGGTCTCAGTAACCCAGAGAATAGTCAGGGGGAGAAAAGCAAGGAGCAGCAATTCATTTTTCTCTGCACTGGGTTTGCAGCACCAGGGTCCTGGCAGTTACCTGAGGTTTCTTCACCTTAATGATCCAGGTGGGCGGGACTATAACAGCAGCATGAGCCCCCAGGGAGCAGGGTTCCTCAATGTGATGCAGCATGAAACAGGTCACCTTATTGTGAAACTGAAGAGAAAAATGGGCTAATAAGCAATTCTAGGCAAAAGGTAATGTCACAGTAAGAAGGAGTAAGTGCGTGCACACACACCATGCATGCACATCCACCCCCCCAACACTCACAGAGGCGCGCGCACACACACACTCACACACACACACAAAGGGCACTTCCTTCTCAACACCACCCAACCAGCCCCAGGAGCTTAGAGACCAGCTTTCTATTCTGTCAGTATAGACTTTACCACAATTATTAAGGAGAAATCAACATGGCAGAACAAGGCCTGCAAAAACTTTCTAACCATTTAATGAAATCTGTTCATAATGATGTTAGAAACGTGGAAGGTTCTAGTAATCCCGACTGCACACAGTTGTGTTTCTTCCCTGGTGCTCGTCACATACTTGGTTGAGTAAGAATAACGTGGAGAAGGAAATGAAGGCAGCTAAAAGGCAAGGCCTGCCCTCTCTCTGCCTCTCCTTTTTCCATCAGAGACAGCAATCCCCCCCAGATTCTCTCTCCAGTTAGAGAAGCCAGGAGAGAGGCAGGATGTCCCCTCTAGAAAGTTATGAGACCCAGAGGTAACAAAGTATAAAGAGAGTGCCTGGGCTGGGGTTGTGGCTCAGTGGTAGAGGGCTTGCCTAGGACGTGTGGGGCACTGGGCTCAATTATCAGCACCACATACCAATAAATAAATAAAATTTAAAAATTCATCAACAACTAATAAAAATGTTTTTTAAAAAAATGTTTTTAAAAAGAGAGTGCCTCTGCTCCATTCCTCAACAGCCTTTAAAAATCACAGTGCCCTAATACACTTGGCAAGCCTAAAGTGCTTTTTGGTTTTGAAAGGAAGAAAGGAAGCAACTGCAGATTAATAATCATAACAGCACCTCAGTGTGAGGGGCTTAACTGGGTACCCCAGCTTGAGGCTGGGACTGATGGCCAGGGGCCATTCACACTTGCAATCATCTTTTGACTAGAGTGATAGCAACGTGCAGTAACATTTATCTTCTAACAAACATAAAATCAACATTATGCAATAATTAGGGGGTCTCAGATTTTAATTATAGTGATTTCTTCGAACTTCATGTCACTTTTGACTTGGTTTATATTTATTGTGATCATATAATTTATCATTTTAGCTGGAACAATTTAAAAGTGAAGGGGATCACTGATAATAACTATGTGAGAAAAACAGACATAAATCAGGACTCAGGAAAACTAGCAAATAGAGCCACTGTAATTTTAATAATACTTTTTCATGTTTGCATATCTTTAAGATCTGCTGTGATCCAGTAGCTAATTACTAATTGGTCAATTAAGGATAAAATACTTAATAATTTTCCTTGCCACTAGTTATTTGCATTTTGCAAAAGATTAAATTATCTAGAGGAATGATATTTGAATGCCTTCTTTCAAAAAAAATGTTTTAATTGTGTGTCTAAAATTTTCATTATCTATCTACAATGGTGTGGGTCTCAGAGACTGACAAAGTGAACTCTTTCAATTTGTATTTGAGTAATCTCCAATCTAGTGACTAACAGGCAAATTCAAGATCACACAGCTTTTAAATGGTGGAACCAGGATCTCAATGAAGGAAACTCAGCTACCAAATCCAGGGTCCATTCTTGTGTACCATAGAGATTCACTTGTTTACCTATACTGTTAAAATACATCATGTTTATAATATGTGTGAAAATTTTTTATTTATAATTCTTGAAAAACCACCTTCTACCATGTGAGGAAGGGGGAAATTCAGATTCATGTGGAATCAACCAAAGGTCTGCCTTAATGGTCAAATGAAAGTTCAGTCTCTGTATTAACTCAGTTGGACTACAGATTAGAGAGCACACATGTTCATTGGAAAGTGGGATTGCATTTCCAAATTGACCCTGACAGACCATCTGACCCTATCCTGGTAGCAACATGGTGGTGCAGAGGCAGCCTTCTGAGCCCAGCTGCCCATGATGCATCTCACCAACAGGGTCTCACCAGGTCAGGGAGCTCAATGCACCCACTGCAGCCTGAAAGTAGCCATAGGTGATACATAAATGCAAAAAAACAGGGACAGAGAGTCAATAAGTAACTGTGTTTTGATTTGATAAGTAACATGGCTATGTTTTGATAAAATTTCTTATTTATAAAAATAGGTGTTGGCCATATTTAGCCCTGGGGGCTGCAGATTGCCAAATCCCAAGTAAGAGTAACAGAAACAACAGGCACACTGGCCGACGAGTATGAAAATGTAGCATTGGAGAGAGAAGTGAGGTGCTTTAAAAAAAATTGAGGGGACAAAGGGAGATAGAAAAGGAGAAACAAAAATGGGAAAATGACCATGGGACCCTAATGTATATACATGTGCAAATGTAAGGAAGAGCTACATTTCAATGAGCATACAGATGGCATCATCCCAATCTAGAGAAACCTGAAGAAGGACACAGGAGATTTGCACACTGAGTGCCACAAAAAAAAAAAAAAAAAAAAAAAAAAAAAGTCACCCATGTCAAAATTGGAGGAACATGCCTGGACATCTGCATTAGAGGGTCTCTCCTGTTGACCACTGCTCTGTTCCCAATGCTGAACCTGCCTACCAGGAGGAGTTCTCAGAATCTAAAGGAAAGGAAAGAAATGTGGTCCAGGAGTGAGAAGCCCTCTGTTCCAGCCCCAGGACTGGAACCATGGGAAGACCCCCCAGTCTTTGGTCCTAGGCTTCTCAACATGTACAAAAGAAAGGGGTAAATGAATTTCTGTAGTTTCTCTCAGCTCATCTGTACAGTTGTTCTATAGTTTTGCTGTCTTTCTTCCTTCAAGGATTCTATCTGGAAAAGTAGTATGTTCTGTCAGGCTCCTGTTCCCCTGGCGGACAGGAACTCAGGCACCAACAGTGTATTTTGGTCGCATGAGCCCACGTTGCTGTATCTCATCCCAAACTTACCGCCTGCTTGCACCAGGAACAGCTGATGGCCACGATCTCTTTACTGTGGAAGGAGAACTTTTGCTGGAAGCCCTGGGATATTAGGACAAAAGACACAGAATTTAAAACCACCTAAAATCACAGCACAAATCTGCCCTCCTGAAGTTCAATGAAGTAAATAAGGCCAGAACTGTCACCATTACTATAGTAACCAGGACGACAAGTGTCACCATCATCACTGTGCTCTCCACCTTCTGCCATGCAAAGAGTTTCTATTTCTGAACCACCCAGAGTGTGAGAAGGAGGAGGCCCTGGCATTTCCTACACCACTAACTTCTCCAAATCAGCCACACACAAAAAAGAGCTTAAAAAATATTTCTGATCTAATTTCATTACAAGAAAAGGAAAAGTCACTACTGGTTCCCTGATCCAATGTCATAATGGTCAAGCATCTCAGAGACTTTATATGCCTTTTGTGTCCGAGAACTCAGAAAAACAGAAGTGAAATATCAGAGAGACAGTACCCAGAAGTCAGAGTCTGGGAGAAGTCCAAGGGTAGAGTAGGAAATTCAAACACTTTCATCATCCTCTTGGGATGTCTGCTCATAAGACAAGCAGCTTTTAGTTTTTATTCCTCATCAACAAGCACCCATGAGATTGATGGAATAGAAGAAACAACCTTCTTAAATGAACAAACAGAATGACTCTTCCATCAGGAACCAGAGAGGTGGTTTTAGTTGCTGCTGTCTTTAAATAATTACCAAAGAGAAGTTGGCAGTAATGTTCAAAGAAATTTTTTTCCCCCACTGTACAGTCATTTTCTCACTGCCTGTGAAATCTAAACCCAAACAAAGAGCAGTAACAAAAAACTACATAGGGCTTCAGTAAGGTGGTCAGAGGAAAAGAGAAAGATGTGATGGGCTGGAAAGTTATTCCAGACACTGGCCAAATAAGTCCTGCTTCATGTGTATGGATACTTTTAAGTTAAAGTCAATTTACAGGCTATAGAATGATGCCTCAAGGGCATCTGGCAGTACCTATAATTCTGCCTGTTCACTTGACACACCCTTGAGCATTCCCTCCTTTTTAACCCTTTCTCCTCTCTTGGTTCCCTGAGACACCATCCTGAGTCTCCTTCTACCTCCCCAGTCTCCTGCATGTGGACACGAGCCCAGGATGGGTTCAGTCACCTTTATCTTAAGATTCCACTTCTCATCCTTCTCTTTTGCCCCACCTGCAAATAGCACTTTCATAAACATGACCTTTTAATATCAACTCTCTTGGATTTAAACAAGTTTTTCCATCGACATCCCCTTCTCAACAACTGAAGTGATCATATCGTCACTCTTTGTGTAGAAAAGAGTCAATACAGTAATCCTGAGACTCCTAACCTTAGAAGGGCTGTTTGCAAGGTTGGGAAACCTGGATATCAGAAGGGTTTCCCCAATTCCTAGAATAGTTTAGAGTGGCATGCTGGGCCTAAACTGTTGTGCTAAGTGGTCAGCTGAACACCCACTTTCCTGCTGGGAGTCTGGAATTTTGGTCTGTGCTATGCAGAGCGTGTTTATGTGAACAGGTCTCATTAAAACCCCGGGCACCAAGTCTGTAATGAGACTGATAGATGTTTCACCTGGGGTTCGCAGCTCATGGCTAGAGGAATTCAACACCTCCTGAGGACTCCACTGGGCAAAGTCCCTGGGAAGCTTGTGCCTGGCTTTTTCCAAACTCCCCCCTTCTCCCCCACCCCCGCACCTGTCTCTTTGCTGACATTGCCTTATGACCTTGGGCTGTAATAAGTCACAGATGTGAGCACTACTACATGCTAAGTCCCACCAATGAACCACTGAACCTGGAGTGCTCTTGGGGACCTCTGACACATGCTCCTCCACCCAGGTAATGCGTCTTACTGCCTCTTTCTGTCAATGACAGCACCTTTTCCCCAGAAGAGGACTTCTTCTGTGACACACACAAGTTCTGGACCAGCAGGCAACCATCCCAGTCCCCAGCACTTGAGAGTTGCAAACGCCCGACAGGAATAACTTGCAGAGGGGACACAAAGTCTAATGGGCCAGAGGATTAGATGTGCAGGGCTTTTCCAAGCTGATGCCAAACTATTCAATATAAAACAAGATGGTACCAAAGAAGACAAAAAATGACTTCACGTTGCGGATGCTTTAAAAATTCCTCAACATCCCTGAAGTCATTTTTGAGAAAGCAGAAAGATGGATAAAACTTTAAACTAGAGAAACAATTTGTGATGCTGTGTGAAGGAAGGAAACAGCAGCTATGAGCAAGTGTGTTGGGGCCGAGTGGAACCTGAGCACACTGAACTGTCTCCCTGCGGACCCCATGTCCAGCCAGGCATCCAGCTGCGTTACCTGGTCACTTCATTTTCTAACTTCTCTCTCCAGAGACAGTCTGCTTCCCCCTTTATTCTTCACTGCCACCAGCTCAAAATGCAAAATATGACACTTCTTTCTCTATAGATCAAGAAAATAAACTCCTCTTATGAGCATTTTGGAACCATCCATAATATTCCCAATCAATTTTATTATTCCCAATCAACATCTATAACCCACTCCTTTCTGTTATAAAGCTCTGTCTATAGTGAGACAGGTCTAATTATATTCCACAACTTGGTTTATTCTTTTCTATTTCTATTTGTTGCCCCATGCTGTTTTCTCATCCACAGCCCACCAGCAGGAAAGCCTACGCCATTTCATATACAGTAGTATCTAGATTTTATGTCTACTACAAAATCTAAAAAACATTTTCCAAATCACCTCAATGCATATGGTCTCTCCTCCTAAACTAAGGGCTACCTGTACCTCCCCTTGCCACTAACAAATAGTTGCCCCAAGAAGCTGGTTATATGATGGGGAGATGTAAGGTCTTCAAATAAAATCCTTATTCTTAGCAACTCGGCATAGCTCTTCAAACGTCATAGGCAAGATGTACACATTTTCTTATTAACTGAACCAGAAAGCTGCTGCTACGACATCATGATCCAATCCCAAACTTCATGCCATCCAGCCTTTAAACACCTGACCTGAGATACCTAAAAATGGGCATCCTCATTAGACCCTTCTCCAGGAAAAAAACCAGCCCTATAAGCAATGCAAACATCGTAGGACTCTAAATTTTACTTTTAAGTCTGCAATATTGGGAATGCCGAATGGCTAAAATCAATACAGTAAAATGCGTAACATGACAGCCACAGCTGAGTGTTGTGATTCAAAATGTACTGAGTCTTAAATGCTTTTACCCAGGCACCCTTTCATCAACTTGTACATGAGATAGAATGTGAGGAGAGATGACAAAGCTGAGACCAGTTCCTGGATCTTCTTATTGGCTGGGTGATTGTCTTAGTCAGTTTTTTTTTTTTTTTTTCACTGCTGTGACTAAAAGACCTGACCAGAACAATCTGAGAGGAGGAAAAGTTTATTCAAGGACTCACGGTTTCCGAGGTCCCTAGACAGCCTGCTCCATTCCTCAGGGCTCAAGATGAGGCTGAACATTAGGGAGGAAGAATATGGTGGAGGGAAGCAGTTCACATGATGATTAGGAAGCAGAGAGAGAGACTCCACTCTCCAGAAGCAAAATATATACCCTAAAGGCACACTTTCAGTGACCCACCTCTTCCACCCACATCCTACTGGCCTTCAGTTACCACTCAGTGAATCCTGTCAAGGGATGAATTCACTGACTGAGTCAAGGCTCTCATATCCCAATCATTTCTCCTCTGAATCTTCTTGCATGTCAGCTTTTGGGGGACACCTCACATCCAAACCATAACAGTGATCTTAAGTAAATCACTTAACTCTTCTAACATCTTCCTTTACCTAAAAAATGGAAATAATGAATTGAACCTCTCCTACACCTCCAGGTGGGTTATAAGCATCAAATGAAAAAAAATGTAACTGGGAGTTCTTATAATGCCTTCAATCGTTGTGTGTGTTTATATATGTGAAAGAGTAATTTCATCACTAAGTTCTAACAGCAGGAACCTCTTCTACCACCTTGCTGAGAAAGTCTTCTGAGTGCAGGATGTGACTTAGTTTAGGGTGAGTGTATTTGGCTGTTGCCCTCCAGTGAATACTGGCCTTCTCTTCCAGCTTCAGGGAGAAAACAGATGCAATCCACTGTGACACAGACAGGCTGATTCCAGAAACAAATGACAAGGCCAATCACAACTAGTCTGATGCTTATGCAGAATTGTGGGGGGGTTCCTTGGAAATGAGCCTGGTGGTCATCATCTTTGTGCTTTGTTTTGGATTCTAGTCTGGCAGAGTCACAGTGACCATGGCTTTGGGGTTATTATCTAACACAGACACATAAATAGAATCGCCTGAGAGCCGTCATGGACCAAGTTCCCATTGACCACCTGCCATGGGAGATTTTGGCCAGGCAAAAAGAACCAGATTCCTAATCACCCGTGTTAAAATGCTGGCCCAAATCGGCTATTATTGTACTGACAGATGCCTGACTGCATTTAAAATGACTCTGATTTTTAAGGGCTATTTTGTTCCGCACTATCAAAGAGGCAAATAGGGACATGAGCCCAGATGCTTTGGATTCAACTGACTTCAGAATTAAAAATATCAAGAATACCGAGGGACAAAGTCACTCTCCTGGTTCTTTGGGTTTTTTCAATCACACTGAGCCTTTGGAATAAAGCTTATACAAGACTTATTCTGAGCAGCTAAAGCTCTGTGGCGTCTCTTTCTTCTGCCATCTAGGGCACATACCAAATGGCACTCAGTTTTACAGCCTTGGCTGAAACCGGAAAAAAGAACTTTACCTGAAATAAGCTGAAATTATTTTCTCGTTTCTGTATTGAACTGAAGTTTGAAGTGGGGGGATCTCTTGACCTTAGGCGGATTCCCTCCCTGTGTGATTTGATCTTACCCTGCACAAGTTGATACTTCACTTGCTTCCAAAACTAAGCAGCAATAAAAATAAGCCTGTCCACATCCACCAGTGTGTGCAAAACCCATAACTGTTATTGAGGACAGACCCAAGTGAAATAGAAAATAAGATTTTTTTAAATCAATTTACCTCCTGTAATATTTATCTTAAAAAGATGACTTCAA